CGGGGGGGGCTGAGGGGGGCAGCGTATGTGCCAGGCGACGTGACCTCGGGGGAAGGGAGAGGAGGTGCGGGGCTGGGGGAGGCCGGCGCGGAGGGAGTAGGAGGACGTGGCTGCTTGGCCCCTCTTCTGCCTCAGGGGTCCCTCCCTACAGGGGGTGTAAGCTAAATGGCACCCTTCTGTCCCGAACGGGGAGAATAAAGCGGCCCTAAAGCTAAAAAGTCGTGTCGGTGAGGCTGTACGGCTCAGAGGCCTGGAGCCTGGGCAGTTTCCTTAAGGGCCAGGTAGCCGCCATTGCTCTGACCCTAACTGGAAACTGAGGGGAGACACTTCTGCTGTTCTGCTGTTCTGCTGAAGTTAGTGGGAGAAAGACAGGCAGGAGAAAAGAGTTACGGGGATTGCGGTGAATGAAAGAGCTTAACCTTGCTGAGGTGGCGTGTTTGTTTGTTTCCTGCCTATGAGAAATGTGTGATTGTTTCTTTTTACATGGCTTCAAAGACCTGTGCTGACATTTAGCTTAGAGGGCTTAACATCTACATATGATAGTCTTTTAATGTCTACTTTAACACTGAATATAGCCATTTTGCTTATAAGTCTCAATTTCACAGACTACAGTATAGATGTAATAGAGCTGACTAATCCAAAGATGCTATAATTTTAGTAAGAATATTGATGGGCCATCCTGAAATCATGGATCAAAAGTATAAACTGTGATAGAGGAGAGACCTCCTCAGAATAAAAGAATCTCTACCAGAGTATCTCACTCAAATTACTTGACCAAATTTGCCTTTCAGTGGAATTCATTTTAAGCTTATTCTGGAAGGCATTTGAAATAAAAGACGGCTAAATCTCAAATTGTGTGCAGATTAAAGCATTGTGTATTTCAGCTCGATGCATTTGAAACTTTGCCTGTGATAAAAATAAGACAATATAAAAGCTTGCTTTAGACTTACATACTGTGGCTTTCGTCCAGGTAGGACAACAAAACCAACATAGCCTATATACAACTGTTCTTCCAAATTAAGCATGTATTGCATCTGAAGTGTCTGCCCACAACAAATATGGAAGTGGACTCTAAAGTTATGGTAATTTTTATATTTTTTTTTAGAAGTGAGGAAGTCATAATATTGAAATCAACATTGCCTGATGACTCACCTCATTTTGCAATGTATATTTTCCCCTATATATATGTCTGTGTGTGTGCATGGTGCCATTTAGTGTCATGATCTATTGTAGACATATAAATGACATATGAGGCTTTGTCTTTGTGTTGGTAATTAAATTCTTTCATTTGTATATGCAATGGAGAGTGATAATTCTCAGCAGCAAAAAAATTACTGTAGAGGAACACTGGAAACTTCTTGAGGTGTAACAAAAAATATTGTCAGGTGTTGTGGTATTAGAAATCGTGAGATATGTTGGTGTAGGTGGAAGTATTTTCTTCTGTTGACTTCTTACTGTTGAGGAGCTGGACTTGTGAAGACTCTCTGGGGACAGTAGAGCCATGTTAGAGCGAGGCATATAACTATGGAAGATCGTTGCAGTGCTTTATGCAGTTCCTAACAACGCCAGCATTTATTTTTACAGTAGCGATGCCACCATATTATTGGCATATAGGTAATTGCTCCTTTTCAGAGGTAGTATAAAGTTTTAAATATATCTGAAGTGCTTTGAAGGTAAAACATAAAATCTTTACTAATTGTTAATAGGCCTTTCTTCTTGCATTTCAGTCTGAAAACTGGATTCTTAAAGTGGAAACCAGATTATGACAGTGCAGCTACCGAATATGGGAAGGCAGGTATGTATGGCTGTAAATATGGCCATATATTTTATGGTTTCAAAGTATTCTTTAAACTTAATCCCTGATAACATTTTACATATTTTCAGCACATTGCTGTGTAAGTAAAATTGTTGTGAAGACAAGGTAAGATGAAACAACAATAAAAATGCTCTTAGTAACACTGTAAAATAAATTTCAGGTTGTACTTGGAGATCTAGAACAGTTGTCAAAACAATTTTTTTTTTTTCAAGCTTACAACTTCTACTTTGTATATAACTACATATGATAAAAATAAAGCTTTCCTTCTTTCACTTGTCCACCCCCAAATCCTATGACTTTACCTACAAAACAACAAATATTCAAGCTGGTTTTAAAACTGTTTTTTTAATCATCTTATGAAGTATGTCCTGACAAAGATTGTCTCAGTAAGGCGTAGAGAGCCTGCCCGGTTTTTTTTAGGCATAGTAAGATCTCTTTCCTCCTTTTTTTCCACTGCAAGTGTCACACTGAATATAAAATTCTTACTGGTTGATTCCTTTTTGCTCTTAAACAATTTTCTTCTTTTTGATAATAGTAATTTATCGTGGTTTTTTGGCTTCTTACTCCAGGCATTCCTACTCATTCATTTAAGCCTGAATAAAAAAATACAAACTTGGAAGAGCAACTGGAGCATTTATAAATTGAAATTTATTTTAAATCCCACTTTAATATCCTATCAGTCTAATGGAGATAGAACTACATATTTGTACCCTGAAGTGGTTGTATTGAGGAAGTTGTTATAGCTATGCTTTGTTGATGGTTGTTGTGGGTTAACCCGGCAGGGAGCTAAACACCACACAGCCAATCG